CCAATCGAGGCAATTCTGGGATTGTGTGATTCTGTGAAATGGGACAGTGGGACAACCCAGCTGGGCTGCTTTGTTGTGGTCAAGTTTGCAGTGCAGGGCTCATCCAGGAACCAAGGCATAAAATCCAGGACACATCAGTCAGACTCTCTGCATTGCAGCAGCACATTTCAGTGTGACATGAGGTTTAACCAACTGTAAGGAAAACCAGCTTTTTCCATGTCCCCTCTCCTTGTGGAAAGTAAGAATTTCTTAAGGACAGACTTGGAGACACATCAGCTCACCCTCCACGAGACTCACGTGTTGCAGTAGCGAAATATCCCCCGGATATCCACCTCCCGCACGGCAGCGTTCACAATGGGCACAGTTACCATCTCAGGCCCCAGCCCGACCAGCACCAAGGTCCCACCAGAACGAGTGGCCTGGAGAAAAACCACACAAATATATTATATTTTGCAAAACAAGAGTCACCAAAGCCTGAGCACCAGTCTGTAAAAAAATAAAGCCACACTTTGTGGGTGTAATAGACTGCCCGAGGCACAGCGGAGAAGCTAGGGGAGAAGCAGGGTGCTGTCAGGAGCATGTAAGCATGAAACACGCAATAAACAAAGCTTAAAAAGCAATCTTTCAAAAATCTCTGAAGGATTTTGGTATCATCTCAAGTCTCATTCTGAAAAATGACTGGCAGTCAGGAGTATAAGAAGTACTTTTGGATTTCAATGGGAGAGATTTAAAAGTGAAGGCCTGGTGCTCCACTGGAGTTTCTCTTTTTCTAGCTTGTCCCGTTTGTCTCCTGTCCTTTCATTGTGAAATTTGACATTACCTTCTCCACATCCTCCTGTTGGGTAGTTCATGACAAAAACATCCCCTCCTTAACTGCTTTCTTCACCTACTGAAATTAATTTTCTTAATTATTCTCCTTATTTGGACATAACTTCAACTTAATAGAAGATGTTGTCCTACATGTACCAGCTCCTTGACACTGCTGTGTAGCCACGTTTGGGTTTCAGGGTCTTACTGTGGTCTTTTTGTTAAGTCAGGCAATTATCCCCACGCTGCCTGCAAAGATGTCAATTCTTTAGTTCTCTCTCTTAGTTTGTTGTCTAACAAGCACCTTCTCTCCCTCACACCAAACCCGCTGAAATTAAACAATATGGGAGGAAAATAACTTGTCACTCGCTGTGGCATCCCAGAAAAAAAAAGGCCAATGCCACCACTGCTCTACCTTGGGGACAAGTGGTACTCACATAAATGCCAGCCTGGATGCAGGCTTGCACTCCTGTACACTCCACAGTTATCTCAGGCATGCAGCCAAGCAGACTTTCCACTTTGGAGGCCACCTCCTGTGGGGTCTCATTCTTCACCTGAATAGTGAAATCTGCCCCTATCTCCTTGGCTTTTTGCAGGCGAGAGGCAGATAAATCTGAGGAAAGACAAAACAAGTCAAGAACGGGAGCATTATGAGAAGCAGAAACACTATCTTCAATCCTTCTCCCCCAGGATAGAAGATAGCGTTTGTTATGTGGTAGGACAAGGTGGGAAACTGCAGCCCGCTAATATCTTCTCAAGAATTTATCTAGACCACCCAGACCAAAGGTCTTCCCACCCTTGATGCAAGTAGGCCACCATCAAGGAGCCCTGATGGAAGCACACACATCTGGGGTCTGAACATGTGTTCACAGGGTAGTACACAACCAGGGGAAGGAAGGGTCTACGTTTCCTCCCTTGAACTCATGCAGGCTTCGTTGAGGAGGCAGGGAGACCTGTTTGCTTTCCTGGGCAGGCAGAGAAGGATGAGTCATGAGGACAATGGGAGATGCCAAAGGCTTTCCAGCTGCAGAAGAGGGTGTGCTTCAGAGGCTAAAGCATGAACTCACAGATGAAATCCACGCCATGCAAAGCAAAGTCCGAGTGAAGAAACAGCTGTCGCTACTAAACTCAAGAGGTGTCTTCTAAGATGATCCATTCACAGATCTCCCAATTACTTTTTGGTACTGCATGAACACCGAGAGCATGCCAAGACAAACTAGAAGGTCCAGCTTAACTCCAAAGGGCATGCACATCGATGCTGCAAGCAGAAACCACAACAGGAACAGCTGTCCTGACACTAGAGAGTAGAGGAACCTCAATGAGGGCAAAGGCAAAAGGCAGCAGGAGGAGGTCAGGACAGGGCAGTGCTGAGCTACACTCACCCTGTTCCAACAGCATGGTCATGTCTTACCAAAGCTGCCACTGTCTAAGACTGTGCTGCTCAGTGTCACTCTGGCAAGGACTCTTTCATGAAGCAGCTTCACTAATTCATGTGGGACCTTAAGCCACTAGAGAAAATGGACTGTAACAAACCACATTATACACACTCAACGAATTAACCTAGGCAGGAGTCTGCAACACTGACTTGTATTTTCCTTCCCTGGCTCTCGAGATTATTTGCTGTTGCTCACATCCTCAAGGATACCTCTCAGAGGGCACTAGGCAGAGGCAAGGTTGCTCTGACCTTGCTCCCTGATGGCCCAGAAATCCCCTGGCTATGGAGAGCACAGCAGCGAGAAGCCTTTCTGACAGGAGATGTCAGGCTCAGAGAATCATTAAGGTGGCCATTTCACTCCTAATGGCACCAGGTGAGAGCAGATCACAAGCTCTTTCAGGGTTTCCTCAATGAACTATCAGCAGATGCTTTCAGCTGACCCAACTGCAGAATGCAGTTGTCAACACTAAGCGCATCCCTGTTGTTACAGGCCTCTCACAGAATCACCTAGATTGGAAAAGACCTTTAAGATCATC